AGCTTCTTCTCCATTCACATCCCACTCCTTTAGCACTTACAGCTCATGGAGCTCAGGGGATTGTCCTAATATCAGATCGGGAAAGAAATAATTTATTTACGGAATTACTAGGAAAAAACGTGTAGGAAGCTCCTCTTAAATACCCTTCTACATTGCTTTCATGCCATCAACAATAATGGCATGGGCTTTGGTTAAAAATGCTGAGATCTATGTATAAATTCAGTACATACTTAGAAAAAAAATTGTATATGTCTGTGTAAAATATGGGGCGGAAAATCAGGTTTACTTGAACTCTATATTTGGTTTAGCAAAAAACATGTAATCTTTGGAAAGTGCTTCCTTTAAGCAATGCTCCAGGCAATGCTGCAAATGACAGGAAAACACTACCTCAGTGATGCTGCCATTTCTGGAAAGGTCTGCTAATTAACTGGCACCTAGTAACAAAGCAGTATTTGGTTTGGCCACTCAAATGACATACATGAAAATTTTCTGGGGAAAAAACCCAACAAAATCAATCAAATTCAGTTCTTCAGCAGAAAGATGCACCATTCTATCCATAAGAAAAAGAGCCAGAGGGAACAGGGGGCAGGCATGAAGTCAAAGCCTTAAACTTCTCCTTTTGGTGACAGGGACAATAAAAGTGAAAGGTTTGCAAATCAGCTGGGGAGGCCACTGCCACCTTCAGTGACATTCCTCCCCCACAGCAACACCTGGCACTGCTCCCTGGCACACTCAGCTCCAGGACTGGTGCTGCCCATGGTGCTGCAGCCCAGTGGAAAGCTGCTAAAGGGATATTCCCACCCTGGGAACAGCAGGGCTTCGGCTCAGAGATACAGACCCTCAGCATCCCAACACCAGCTTTCAAAAAGCGAGAATCTGTATATTTATGTGCTTAGCTACAACTGTAATATGGAAAGATAAAACAGCTCCACGTTGAAATGAAATAGCTGTTGAAATAAGTCATCATTAAATCTCGATTTCTAATATTGACTGCCAAGTTAATTTACCCATAAAAGGACATTTTACTGCTTTTGCTGAGTGTAAAAACTAAGTGTACTCAAGAATATTTCATTGTCAAACACTAATGAATGGAAATTAATCACAAACCAAATAAAACCATTATTTTAAAAAGGTCTTACTAAACTACCTGTGAAAGGCAGCTCAATAAAGCAACTTCTCTCAACTTCTCAACAAGGAAAGCACAAAGATTGCACAAAAATAAAACTTGCATAGTACTTCATGCTTTACCAGGTATGATTACAAAATGGATTCTTAAGCAGAAACAGGGAAAGAATATCTTACTATAAGACAATAGGTAAACCTTAAAAGATAGCAATGTGGTTTTCATCACTACAGTTCCATTTGCTGTAAAAAATAGTATTTTAAAAACAAATTTACTTAGCCAGAAAATAAGGGAGCACATAGAATTTAGTGAAGAAAAAAATACTTCTCTGGTAGATCTTTTGCTGCCATTACACAGTTTTTTGGACTTTTCCTTAGGCTGCAGACATGAAGTTCCAAAAATGGTAAGGTAATCGACCTTGACATTGCCCCTGGTATGCTGCAAACATAAGTATTCCAGAGAAATGTAACAGCACAACAATCTAACTGCCTAAAGGAGCTCTTTGTATATATATTTATATTTGTTTTGTTTATCTATCAGGCACATAGCTTCACTTTTTTTTCTAGTATTTTACATCTGTTTCCTTTTTATTACCTGTATTATCAACAATTATTTTTTTCACATCAGCTTCTATAGTCATTGTCTGGTTTCCTATTTACCAGGCATGTGCAAGTGAGAGCCAGCTTTAAAAGCATCATTGTTTAATCAGGCTTTCCTACAAGAAGATGCAGCTCTATATAATGACAGAACGAAAATCAAAAGTGACAGATTGGGTGACTGGAATTTCTGTGACTTTTTTAATCCATTAAAATGCCCAGCCTTCCAATTCTGGAAGAGAATTTGGCACCAGCTGGAATCCTCAGACAGCATTAGTAAACAGTAGCAAAACCTCCCTCAAATAAAAATTTTAAATCATGAGTTTAGAAAACACTTCCATAAAATGAAACACACATACTAAATTTAAAGATTCATGTGACTGACCAGGTCAAATCCTATCACCTGGGAAACAGAAAGAAGAAAAGCAATACTTAAATCTGCTGAGGATGTTTCATTTGATAGATTCCAGGAGACTTACAAAGAATAGGGTGAAATGTGACTTTACAGCAGCTGAAATTCAGAGTCCAGGGAAGCAAATTAGTGTTCCTGCACCAACAACATGAAGCCAGTGTTCAACAAACCAAAAAACCCTTAAAAAGAGGGTGAAGAACCTTGGAACTTACAAGCTGGTTCCAGGGTATTGGATTTCTTTCATATACTCTCCCTTCAAGAACAGCCTGAGGAAAAAGGCAATCTCTAGTTCCACCCGACAAATCCACACACTAAACATGATGGCAAAGAGGAACACATTGCTGACTGTCTCTCAGGGTGAGCAAACCTTGAGGTGCAGCCCCTGAGGCCAAGCCCTACCCCTGACCCACCGTTTTCAGGCAATAAACCTTGAAGTAGCTGCACATCAACTGCACTTGCTGAGGTCACACAAACAGGGTTCAACCAAGGCACAACTGAGCCAAATGAGTTTGCTCAGGTGTTTGACACATCTGGAGTTACAGCACCACAGTCACAACACATCTGCTGCCCACAGCCTGGGTTCAGCCAATGTCAGTTTGACTTTAAGCACCTGCTAGAACTTTTCTAGGATTCTAGGAGGTCCCACAGAAACTTGTCACCAGAAACACCAATGAAAATCAGAAGCTCTGAGTGGCCAGCTCTGGACCACAGATATAAAATGACTTCATTGGTAAGAAACCAGCCCTGAGAATTGTGAGAAATAAGATATTTCATTGCTCCTTGTCCAAGCCTTGCTTGGAAAAAAAACTACAAAAAAAAGACAAAACTAAATGAATCCAAGTCATGTTTGTAGGAAGAGTTGGGGTTACACAACCATACAGAGCAGTAGTGAGCCAAAAGAGCCTCCTGAAATAAACATGAACTTGTCGAAAGAAGGCAGCAAATACATTCCTGTAGACATGGAGCATTATGAGATCCATGCAGAGGACACTACTCATTTTTCCCTAACATCTGTGAGAGCTGGGTGTCAGCAACAGCTCAGCTCGAGGAATGTTTCAAGTCATGTTTGAATCTACTTTGAAGATGTACAATGTCAGAAACCAGAATACAACCATTTTAGACATTAAGTAAGCAGCTTTGAAATTTGAATTTGAAATTGTTCACTCAAGTCCTAACCCAAAAGGACCTTCCCAGAGAACAGAGCGTAACATCAGGGAACTAACGCCAAGGCTGAGTTTGATTGACATAATACTACTTTATTCCATTGTTTCAACTTTCTTACAGGTTTAAAAAAAAATGTATAGGGGTTCAGAACCACCTCAACAGAACAAAGAGTACAGTATTAAGGGAGCTCTAGAGTCAAACCACAAGTGTGCACACGTGGTCAGCTTTCATTACAAAAAGTAATAGGCACAATCTTTACATACGCATTTTGGTGAAAGAAGGAATAATAGTGCAGTGTTAAAAGGCACCAATAATCAATCATTGGGCCTTTTTTAAAAGCCAATAACCATCTAAGAAAATTACATTTGGTTCAAAGTTATAATTTAAATATTGTATTGACTGGCATGCATCTGAACCCCTGGCAATTTATTACACAAACCTTAGGTGTGCCCTTGCAAAATGAAAAAGATTTCATCAGTGGACCTGAAAGTCAGTTCAGTACAAAAGGACATACCAAAGCTCTCAGCCTGTATTTAACACCAAACTGTCTTGTTTGCCTCCTCTGAGAACACTCGTCTAACAAAGAGCTACAAAGAAGTATTTCTCTTAAAGCAAGTGTAAATTTTTTGATCCTGTAGCATTGACTACTCCATGTGCTATGAAAACATTAGGCACAGACCACAATTTACGTTTTCTCTTAAAAAAAAAAATACGGTATGTGCAAATGAGGTTCACACAACAGACTGACAGCTACAACAGTAAGCTCTTTAGATGTCCCAAAGTAAAGGGTCAGTTATTTTTAATTTTCTAAGTAATGCTGCACACTGCTGTGTGCCATTATCATATCTGCATTAGGAGCACCTGTGGAACCAGTAAGGAAAAACGTCAGTACACCCTAAAGGACACTACACGGACACCGTGTGCTGATTGAAGTGGGTCAAGAGAGTGAACGACTGGAGAAATCACCGGACATGGGCAGCTGCAGCCAGCCAGGGAGGGCCATTGCCTCCTGCAGAAAGAATGGTTTGGAACTCAGGTAACTTCACAGGTGCCCTCAAACTCACCCACCTGCACACAACGGAACAGAGGGATGCACAGCATGGGAAAAAAAGGGGAAATGAGAGGGAGAGCTTCTGTCTAAGTTGTACCACAAGGTGCCAGTTTATCCCAAAGCATCATGCTCAGGGTAGGGTTTATGCACTGCAGATTTTTCGTACAACTGAAAATTGTACAATATGTGAGCAAAGATAGAGCTGATTATTACCTGCAGCATCTACTAGAGTCCTCAAGTATATAATTTACGGATAGCTGCATACTGTGGTGTTGATTGCTTCCTCTTAAATGCATTAAAATTCTGAAGGCTACAGTATACTCTGACACAAAGACAACTTGTCTATGAGGGGAAAATATAAGATAGTAACTAATTTGTTTTACGAGGAACCTTCTCTGATGTGCTAGATCCTTCATGCCCTTTAGAAGATTTTTATTTTTGACTTTCTTCATCATCTCTGTTGAATTGTTCTCCTGACAATTTCACAGGAGTTCAGTGACCCTTCTTACAGCTGCCTTTGCCTTTTCCAGGATCCCTTTTAAATTCACTCTAACACCACGGCAAGCTGTTCAAGTAAACATTTCCCTCTGGCAAGTTTCCAGATACCACAAACACTACCAAAACTCAGCATTTGATTACATGCACCAGTTTTCTTTAAATGGAGCACGAATTAGCCCGTTTCCTTGGCTTAGGGTCCCGTACATCCCTGTCTTTTAAACACACACAAGATGAACATATTGTCTCTGACAGTCTCCGTAGTCCCAGCCTGAAAACGCTGTTGGAGAGGCTATATATCACGCAGTTGCAGAAACTATTGCTTATAGCAAGCCACGTAGTTAGGAAGGAGAGTGCTGGGTTTTCCAACACCCTGGAGCTCTCCAGCAGAAAGTATATGATATAAGGGAGCCAGAGCACGTAGAACACGCTGGTGATCCGGAACAAAACCATGGCATAGCGGCGGTCGGGGCTGTGCCCAGCCTCCCCAGCAGCGTCCCCTTCGTGGTTAGGAAATCGAGCTCTGCGGTCACTGATCTCTTTGGTGTGCTGCCGGCAAATTTTAAAGATGTGGAAATAGGTGAAACATATGACAAAGGCAGCAGGAGCATATAGTAAGCACACGATAAAGCCAGTAAAGTAGGCATTAGTTAGCCAGGAGGTAGCACACCATTCAAAAATATCTCCATGGTAACCAGGTTTTCCCCAACCAAAAAAAGAAGGCAAGAAGATCAGGCAAGAGTATATCCAGATGAGACTGATGCAGATTCTCAAGCGACAAGGTGTGACCAGTTGGTTATAGGAGAGAGGCTTTGTTATAGCGAGATAGCGATCCACACTGATGCAAGCAAGACATGCCATAGATACGCTTTTGAGCACAGAGATGATGTATCCAAAAACTTGACAAGTCAAGGACTCGTGGACACCTGTTGAGTAGTGGAGCAGTGACAAAGTAGGAACCAAGCAGCTGACTCCAACAAAAAGATCAGCATAGGCCATGGTCTGAATAAAATAGCTGGTGGTATAATGATGCAGGAGTGGAGCACAGTGGAAAACAAATATCACAGTTAAGTTACCCGCAATAATTAAAAATGTTAGCAAGACAATAACGACTGTCTCAAGGATACAGATGTCAACTGCATTGTAGTGACCAAATCCAAGAGGGCAGGAGAGGTGCTCAGATATGTTCATAACACTACTGCTCATATTCAGAGTCCTCCATTCAATCCATCGGGACTGGTTCATGTTTTGTGCTTAGGGAACAGTGCAATCTGAGCCTTAGAGAGCAGGTGACCTGCTGAACAGCAGCTAAACTCTGCTCCAGCGTCTCACGGTCTCTCCTTGCAGACACTGCCAGTGCTTACATGGGAGAGGATTAGAGTCCCATAGCTGTTGATGCCTCCTCAGCATCAGTGCATCACCTCTGGCACACCTTGGCTTTAAAAGGAAAGAACGAAAGAAAGAAAGAGAAAAAGAAAGAAAAGAAAAACAAAAGCCAGAAAGAGAAAGGCCACTGATCAGCTCCTCCAGTGCTCTTGACCCATCTTTAGCAAACACAAGGCACTTCTAAAACAAACAGAAATAAAAACTGACAAAAGAGACACATTCATTTCCCAGGGAAGGAGGGGAGGGAAATATCTGACTTATTTTCCTGAGAAAGTAGTTTACTTTGGAATATACTGGGGAGAGGGAGAGGAAGGGAAGGAGGAACCTCAGTACAGCTCAGGTTTCCTGGACCAGCAGTTACTGGAGATAATCTTTACGTCTTAGTTTAAATCACAGACTGATTGGAGATTAAAGGAAAAAGTTCATCCTCTAATGCTGTCTTTTCTTGTCTGTTTCAGAAGATGGTACTCCATCTTATCCATGCTACTCATTGGAAGGGTAAGGAAAACATCTTTGTCAAGGTTAATTCCAATAGACTCACCACTATTTGGGTATGAATAATGAATTTTATTTAGGGGGAGACAGGTGGGGGATGAAGGGGATTTGTCCTCTGGCTCCCAAGAAAGAAAACATACATCTCACATACAATTAGGAAGATCATGTCTATTCATTTAAAAATCAAAATAATTTAAAAATAGATTTTGGAAACTCATGTCAATATTTACAGTTCCTTTAAACAGTTATAGTCCATTACAATTAGGAATGCCAGAATCATAATTCAGTGTCCCCACAGACAAAATAAATCCTCTTGAATTTAATTTCAGCAATGGTAATTAAAAAAAATCATCTTTAGAAACTCTGCAAATCTACTACAGTGGATCAGCACCCAGGAGTTCATAGGTATATCCACGATATTGCTCACCTCTGTAGCAATAACTGAATCATTTCACAAAACCCCAAACAACGAGCTCAAAAACTTCCATCTGCATTCTGCTGGGAAGCTAATGAAATGCTGATTTGACTAGAAAAGCTGCCATTGTTTACTACTCCATTATTCTGTTGTTCAGCTTCATCTTCTCAGGGGTTTAAGGTTTCTATATTTATTAGATGATCTGCATAATAAACAGTTGCTTAAAAAATTGTTCTTCTATTTGCAGGACATTACCTTGTTCATTTTATTCACAGCTATGGAGAGAGAAAACATTAAAAGCATCTTCTCTATTCAGTTTTAAGTAAATGCTTGATTAGTTCAGGAATCATTAGGCAGGTAATTAAATGTATACAATCTTGTTTTTTGAAAGGCCCCTAAAACGTTAAAAACATCATTAATCCTAGAGTTCCTGAGACTAGAAGACCAGCACTGAAAATTAATGAATCCACATAAAATCATCTCCAAGGTCATTCAGCTGGCATTTGCTTTAAGTCTCTTTAAAAGTACCAGGATCTTTCTGATGATTCTGATAGTCCTTGCCGTGTCTTCAGGAGGAATTTCAGATACTAGAAAAGCCAAATGTTCAATTCTGTCGCAGCACTTTGAGAGAAAGCATTCTTTTTTGGAGTTAATTTCCTGTCGTGCACCGCCACGCTGTACAGAAAGTCCTTTCAGATTTTATAACATCCCCGAATATTTCCGCCTATTTGCTCCCTTTGTCTATAAGCACCAGAGCACGTATACAATCACTCGTTTCTCCAATTCCCTGCTAAAGCAAGAGAGAAGCTTTCTCACCTACACGCATCCTCACCAGCCGCTATGTCCAATACTTGTCAGGGAGTCAGTCCTGTTACCGCGGTGCGGCTGGAGCGGCTGCCGCTGCCTCCCTGCTCCCCCCGTGCGATGATTGCCTGCACCTGAGCCCGCTCCTCCTCCTCCTCCTCCCCGCCGCAGCCCGCCGGGCGCTGGAGCGGTGCCGGCCGCTCCTCTGCTGCCGGTCCATCCGATGGCGCCACCGCTGGCACCGGGAGCGGCACCGGGAGCGGCACCGGGAGCGGCACCGGGAGCGGCACCGGGAGCCGGCCCCACCGAGCCGGGAACCCGCGGCCCCCGAGCCGCTGCGCTCCGGTGCCTCTGGAAGAAGCCAGCACATCCCTCCTAGAGAGATGTGCGTGCACAATCCAGACATAACTTAATGAACTACCGTCATCGCCCCACCGAAACTGTTTGCCTGAACAATCCCGTGTTATTAACTGGGCGCTCACCTTTCAAGGATCACCTGCTGAGGTTTAGCTTGGTAAAATATCTGCTACAGTGCCACACAAATTTTCTAGTCTTCCTCAAAAGACAAAATGACAGCCCACTTTGTAACTACATCCCCAAATTAATTACTTCCAAACTTAACACATATATGTTACAAAACTCACCTGTACTATTTTTGATACTGTACCAGTATTACCAGTACCCTAATAGCATCAACACCAGTTTAAATACAAATACTTGTAACACATTATTTTCCAAACTGAACCAATTAACTCAGCTCTCTACTCTTGCAAACAGATACAGCTATTCCCTGACTAAGTTTTGGTTACTTTGTGCTTCTTAAAAATAAATCCAGTCACAGAAGTACAAGCATCAAAGTTATCTTACAGACACTCCATGCATCCTTAAACACTGAAACAGCAAATTTAAATAGCAAAACACCAACTGCAGAACAGCATTTTGAGCTACTGACCAGCAGAAGACTTGTCTTGGAGGCTTTAACCAACCAAGTCATTAGAAACTACAGTGATTTAAGTCCTTCTAGCTCCACGGCAAACCAAAGGCAAAATTTTAATGAGCTGCTCCTGAGTTAACATCTTGTATTTCGAGTATTGCCTGGAGCAAGTGTCCAAGTCTGAGTGACAAGTCTGTAGCAATGTGAAGCAGCACAAACTGCAGCAGTGTAAGAGTGGTTTGCAGCAAGGGCATGTGATCATTCCAAAGTCTTCTATCAGAGCATTTAAGAAAAAATTAAACCATCTCCGATACCTCAGAATGGTAAACGGCTGTAACAACAGACTTAATGACTAAATTTAGACCCTGAGCACAGCTTTAAGCCCCAGTTATCTATACCAGAGCAGAACAATAGGAACCAATTTTTATTCCTCCTCTTCCCGCTCCTCCTGTGGGGGAGGAGGAGGAGAACAAACAGCGTGCACAGGCATGGCAGTGACCAGCACTTCTCCCACTTCTCCTTGGAGCAGATCGTGGTTGGCACCAGGGATGTGAACAGCCAAAACACCTTAAAATGCACATTAGGGAGCCCCAAAGGTACACAGGGGCACGAAATAAGCAAAGGTACAGCCTGACAAAGCAGATCACAGGCACTTCGTCCTCAGTACATCCTGCTCCACACAGATTTAAGGACTGGTAACTACTGAAGCTTCCAAATGTCACAGTAACCATCAAGTAAGTCACCTTGGTCTCAGAGCAGCCCCAGCTGGTGCCTGCTGTTTGTGCCCAGAGTGCTCACTCTGAGAACAAGCACTCCTGGCAGCCGTACGTTTCAGGTCTGCTAGGAGAAGTCCAAGCTCTGCTGAGCAGATAACAGGAAAATCAATGGCAACCTCTGCTGGCTGGTTCTAGACGCAGGTAAAAATGCGTCTTCTAAAGAAACTTCAACTGAAGTGACAAAGGGGTTCAAAAGGAGGGAAGTTCGACTTCTTTGGCAATATGAGCAGTCTTCCTTCGCTACCAAAAAAACAGTCATGCTGCAAGCTGCCAGTGGCTTTATCACCTCAGCCACCTGCTGTAAACTGCACCATGCTAATGGCACTAAGTCGTACTGTTTTACGTATATCTCAAGGCAAGTGAAAAGTAATCAGAAATCAGCTAGTCCTGATGAAACTATGCTGTTACAGAGGGAATTTTACAAAATGTAGCAATACCAGATTGTTATATCAGAGACAACATGTTAAAAGCTCTATGGGATTTTTTTTTATTTTGAGATTAGGGGCACATTTGGGCCTCTGGCACAGTTTTAAACAAAACCTGCTTCAGGATTTTTTCTAATTTGTGTTTTAAGAAAAGGAAGAGAGAAAGGCAATTTTTCCAGTAGAACTTTTCTCTTACTATCATCAAGGCAGCAACCTACATGGTGCACATGTTCCCACAGCTGGTTACATCCAGCTGGTGGACTGAGCACTCTGAGCCCAACAGAAGGAGCAATTCCTCACCTTCTTTATAAATCACATCAGCTAGAAAGAATACAAATCACCATATAAACCAGAAGGCTCACACCATCTGATCCTGCTGAAAACAGAGGGGATGTGGCAGGAGCATGAGCTTTGTATATGCAAAGCAAGGCTGTGAAAGCAGTGGTGATGTGTGACCCTGAAAGGAAACGAGATAAAGCTTTTTCTCAGACCGAAAAAGTCCATATGGAAAGAGATTTAGATGCTCCAAGCAAGAAAAAAATCTATTAGTCATTCTGTTTGAAAAGGAATAGCAATATTTGTTTGCTAAATCCTTTGTTGTAAGGAAACAAGACTGATAGAAGCAATCCCTGCAGTGCACAAAGCAGCATCTCAATCACACCACTCACTTCTAGTTTGAAGTCTTCCCTTGTTAAATTATTGGATGGTCAGCTGGATTAAATGGGCAGCAATAATTTCTGTAAAATCTTTCTGAAAGGCATTGATGAGAGCAAGGAGGTCCAGCTGAGTGTGGGATGAGGGACACAGTAGTTATTCATTTAGTTGCAGACCTGAATGACAGTGTTGATATACATACCAGCTCATCAACTTCTATTTTTTCTGCCCAACTCCTTTTTCTTTTGTTATTTTACAGTATTTTTTAATATACTTTCTCCTAAGCCTAAAGAATAAAGGTGTTCCAGTTTGCTTTATTTTTAATCTTAACTACCTCTGGCATTTACTTTTACGTG